GACTTTGTGTACGCGCGTGACAAACTCCCCACGCGTTATCTGCCAATCACTGCAAGAGGCCTACGTTCTCCTATCCGTCCTACGGTCCTTAGTCGACTCATTGCTTCAGGCGCGCCTAAGCTCGAAGCCAATTGCTGTGCGCCGCTTTAGCTGATTGGCTGTACAGGCGACAAAAGACAATTCCCGCAGTCCTAGTTCCCCAGCAGCGCAGACACATTTGCATAACTCGCCTGAGGACACGGCGGCTGCTAAGTGAATGGCAGGACATCTGGCTCGTTCCTAGTTGCCGATAACAAACCACAGGCCTTGACATCAGAAGCATCTAACCGTGACGAAACTATGCCTACTGAAATGCATTTAGTAAACATTTAAGTATCCTTAAAATAAATATCGCGACCAAGGATACTTCCGCCAACGTATGAAAGTGGTTGAATCAAAGCCAAGGAAATCGGTTGCATTTGTGCTGAATTGAGAAAAACCCGTTACAAATTGACTTATTCGGAGGCCGAAAAATGAAGGTGGAGGAAGCCTGACAGCGAAATAAAGTAAATTCGATGCAACTCACAAAGGCCAACCTATGGCATGCAACTGAGAAAACTGTTTAATAGTCCGTAGAAAGTCGCACAAAACAACAGCCCTTATACGCGAGGTATTTTAAGTAAGACATTTGAATTCCACAATAAATGTATGCCAGCGGTTGAAAATTCCCTTCACCAAGATTCATCCGACCCGCACTTCGGGAAACCGGCGGACGTTAAATGATACAAACCACGTCGAGAGCGGCTGGTTTAAAAACAAAGCAAACGCAGAAACACACAATCATGGCATTTATTTACATAATCTCTCTCCCAGCACTTACAACATTACAAGAGGCGGAGGTCGGGGTCATTAGGGCCTTCAACAGAAAGTCAAGGATACTTGTTGGAATAAATAAATACAGGACTTAAGAAGACTGCTGTCGAAGAATTCCACGATCTGGTATAGCCTTCAACGATGACGATATAGTTAGGGACCTGTTGGCCGAAAACCCTATCGGAATGCAAAAGGCGTAGGAGTGAGAATCAAACGGAATTCGTCTGGGATTGACAATGCATGACAACCAAACAACTAGGAAATAAGGTGTTCAGGGTGTCCCAAAAATGTATACACATTTTACATAAGTACTATATCGATGCTTATCATAACTTTATTATAAAAAGAACCTAAAAATATTTACAACTTTCTTTTTTTTCGCTGAATGTTCCGAAAATGACGTCCATTTTGATCACGACACTGCTGACTACGCGAAGTAATGGATCAGCTCACACCATGAAGAATGTTCCCTGGTACTCAGGTGTATTCATATTCAATGCCTTATCCCAATTTAGCTCCTGTTGCAATAGTTCAAATGCAGTGAAAAAACAATAAAATGATACCTGTAAACATTTTTATTTTTTTGAAAAAATAAAATTATAATAAACACCAAATTTACGATTATTTTACATGTTTATACATTTTTTGGGACACCCTGTATTTTTTTCCAAATGCAACCAAATACAAACACACAGTACGGCTCAGAATTCATGCAGCATGCCGAAATTCGCGGCAGAGAGTACGATTAAAATACTGACTATCGTGTAGCCTATTCTCAAATCATTTCAGTCACGGTAGGATGCCGGCTTTTGAACGAGTTTCTTTCTGACTACTAGGAAAACATGTACCGTAAAAGAAGGCTACTTAATCAGTATGCATTTTATCATGCATTTTGGCTGCTCTTATAACTTTTATCGAAAACACGCAAGAAAAAATTGTTTCGTGAACTCGTTTGGTAGATAATTACACCTTCTTTAAATGTTATCCTTAAAGAAAGGGTACCCTTCGGTTTTAGAAAAACTTCTATTACATTTTTACGACTGTGAGGTGTTCATTCATAATACACTGTATCCGTCAATGTTTTAATGCTGCCTTCAATGTATACAGCCTGATCCATATCTATTGCAAAATTTTATGAGAACCATGCCATCTCTTTCTCAAACTGTAGGCAAAAACTTTTTCCCTTAAACAGAAAGCCTTGAATTCAAGCGTAGCGGTCGGTAAATTTCGAAATTATTCGGCAATTTAGAAACTTTTTTAAAATCAACAGATACCCTTTCGCTAGGGATAAAATTCAAAGGTGTAATTTGCTACCAAACGACTATAAGAAAGAATTTGTTCGCGCATGTTTTCCATAAAATATAGTTAAATTTATAAAGGCAGCCAAAATAAATCACAAAAATGCATACCGCTTAAGCTACCATTTTTACGGCGCATACTTTTTGTTAACGGTCAGAAAGAAGCTCGTTGAAAAGCCAACATCCTGTTGTGACTGAAATGACTTGAGAAAAGGCTACACGATAATTAGTATAACAACCTTACTGGATGCCGATTAGCGAATGAGTATCAATCTTTCGCAAATGACGGTATGTTGCAGGATTTCTGAGCCCTACTGTACATGAGAAAAGTCGACTCACTTTTTCGAAAGACTTTCCCAAAGGAGACGCGCTTCTTTGCCGAGACCGGTGTTCCGGAGAGACTGTCGTCAAAGTCTGCCAACATTGCATTAGTGGAGCTAGCAACTTCCCCAGTCGTATGGGGCGAACCTAGCGACTAGAAAGAGAAAACAACTGTTAAGAACGAAAACAAATAATGATTTACTGGTTTTGGCCGACCCGTGGATCCCAACAAAGAACTAGCCTCAGCCGAGGTCACACTTTTCACTGGTATCGTTGTTTTCTTAGGCACATCGCAAGCACATTCTAGTGAATTCTAGAAACAATGGCTTAGTAAAAGAATGCTTAACTACATACAGCCGTCGAGGTAGATTGCACAGCGTCGGGTGGGTTTGCGACAACCGCTGCCGGTGAGACTTTATTCTCCTCTGGGGAAGCATCCAAATCGACAGAGCCGAGACTGCGTCTTCGTTTACGATTCTTACGGTCTGACTTCTAGTGAACCACAGCCGATGCGTTAACAGAAAGGGCGGGACATACCGGCGACTGAGGCGTCGAATCTGCCTTAGTAGGGGTTGGCACGGC